TGGTCAGTAATCTAGTGAAAGCTGTGGACATTTTCTTTCTCCTTCAGGACACCCTCCTTTCGGTCACGACATCCATATGAAGAGAATCAATTCAGGTCCAGGTGTGAAGCTCTGAGACATGTGATGGTGTCTTTATCTCCTATAGAATTATAAAATTCAGGAGAGATTGAGTGGAGTATGGCTGTTCCGCAACATTTTATTTACCCATTTCTGACATATCTGAGATCTATCTTCCCTGCTGTTCAGGATCCAAAGGCTTGAAATCTCTGGATCTCTGGTCATTTCCCAACTCCACTAGATGGCCACTGCTCTTCTTGTGTAATCTTGATCTTGTCTCAGTTTTGAGTCCCCTGCTCTGGAAGCCTTTTTTGACCCTTCTCTTTTTGCTCATGACTCCCTCTGTTTTTCCACAGTCTCCCTGGCATGTCTACTTCATAACATCAATCATGGTGGTGCATTTTAGTTACCTGTCATTCCCTGCTACCTGGTAGTTAAATGGTTCACTACTCTACCTTGGTGCTTACCACAGATCCTGGAATCTAGCTTATTTTCAGACCGTGCTTTGTGCCTGTCTGCCTGAGAGAGAAGGGCTTCTGTGTGCTTCAGTATCTAAAATGTGAAGCTCACCACCAAGGGCATATTTCCCTTGCAGAAAACACTCTGGGAAAAGGACCTTTCTATATGTGTCTTAGGACCATGTGGGAAGAGCCCCATAGTTAGTGTAGAAGAAATATCCTTTCATTTAATACATTCTAGGTTCACCCGTACTTGTATTTGAGGCTTGTGTCCTGGCCATCAAACTGACCTTTGGTTTTTGCTCTTCTTTTCTGCAGATTTTGATCCAATGTATGCACAGTCCCAAATGTAGGTATTGTGAAGAGGGTGTGGAAATTATTGGTGTTCAAACAATGTAGACATCATGCTGTCATCATTTTGAATTTTTCCATGACATCTGTAAGCCAATTCTTGGGTCTTTAGATTGTCCCATATTTTCTTCCTCCTCTCCTCATCTGATTTCTATTCCTGTCTCAGGTTCCATTTCTAATCTGGACTAAAGGCTTCTCTGCATCAGAAATGAAGGTTTCATGGAAGCTTCCTTGGTTGTATGATAGTCTAAGTGATCCTACAACCCATTTTTTTATACTTGTTATTTTCCTCCAGATCAGCAGAGGTATAACTCTCTTAGGTTTCAAACAATATATTTATTACCTGAAAAGTGATGGTGGCATGGCTCAATAGGCAAAATACTGTAGAATGTGAGAAGGGGGAGGACAACTAATGAACAGGATAACTAGACTTTTTACACATGTGCCTATATACTTAGGCATATTATAACACTTCATAGGTATGGGCTAGAAGGAGATAGATGGGAAATGAACCATAGAGAGCCAAGAATACGAGCCAACTTATTGAAGTGGGACCAGATCCTGGAAGACTTGGTAATTTTTGTTTATTTCAATTTCTGTTCCGATTGTACATACAATTGTGAGGTAGTTCTCACTATAGGTCTTCAAAGGTTTTATGAGGTATCTCCCAAAGCCCTAAAATGATCCACACCTGAATGTGACAGACTTGTATTGAAGCATCATGTTTGATTAATAATTGTGGTGATTTTGAAAGGAAAGAAGTTTTTCTAATTATGAGGATGGTCTAAAAAATGAGGGTCAATATTGAGTGTGAAGATATTCTATTGCTCACAATTTCCTCAATTATGAAAGTTGCTTGGTTAATTGGTATTTTCTTCTGTAAAAGTGATAGGATAGCCCTAAGGTTGTAGTTTCCCGGAACATCTAGTATTTGCTTCTGTAAGATGTTTTCCCTTTCTCCTTCCTTAAAGATGCTATGTGATGCAAGGGAGATGGTTTTTGTTTTTGGATCTAGAGTATCCCCCAAAATGTCATGTGTTGAAGGCTTGGTTCCCAGTGCAGCAATATTCAGAGCAGGGTCTTTTGAAAGGTGATTGAATCTGGAGGGCTCTGACCTCAACAGTGTATTAGTCCATTGCTTCTTAGGCTCATATCTGAAAAAGTCAACTTTAACCCAAAATTAATCACAAGAGACAAAGGTGGTCATTTCAGATTGGCAAGAGGAACAAGCCAAAAGAAGATGCAATGTTAGTAAATATTTATGCACTAAATCTTGGGGTCCCTAATCACATAAAACAAACTACTCAACATAAAGCCTTCGATACATCTCAAAACAATACTACTAGGTGATTTCAACACATCTCTGTCACTTAAAGATAGGTCATCCAGACATAAAATTAGCAAGGAATTTTTAGACCTGAAGAATATTGTAAATCAAATGTACCTAACAGATATTTATAAAATACTTCCTTTTACAACAACTGATGTCACTTTCTTCTCATCCACTCATGGAACCTTTTCCAGAATAGACCACATTTTAGATCACAAAGCATGTCTTAGTGAATACAACAACAACAAAAAAAAGGAAATGTAATTATTGCATTATATCAGTTCATAATGGAATGAAATGAGAAATCAACCACAAGAAAAAACTATACAAACTATATAAACACATGGGAATTGAACAATACATTGACTGATGCTGGATCAACTTTATATACAATTCATAAAATATACAATTCATACATAAATATACAATTTATATACAATTCATAAAATAATCTGAAAATTATAGACCAATATTCTTGATTAACATAGATACAAAAATCCTTAATAAAAAAGTGAGTGAATTTAAAAAAAATTCCTAGAATTAAACTATAATAGAGGTACAAAATATCCAAATTTCTGGGGCACTCTGAAGGCAGATCTAAACAGAAAGTTTTTAGTGGTAAGTTCCTACATAAAATAATCTGAAAGATTCCAAATAAAAAACCTGTAATGAATCTCAAAGTCCTGGAAACAAGAACAAACCAATTTCAAAACCAGTAGAAAAAGGAAATAATTAACATCAGAGGTGAAATTAATAAAATACATAGTAACTTAACAATTCAAAGAGTCAATGCAAGAAAGAGTTAGTTCTTTGAAAAGATAAGCAAGATTGATAAATTCTTAGAAAAACTAACCAAAAGAGAGCAGAATCAAATAATAATATTAGAGACAAAAATGAATGCATTAAAACAGACACCACTGAAATCCATAAGATCATTCGAGACTATTTTGAAAAATTATATTTCAACAAATTGGAAACTTTGGAAGTAATAGACAATTTCAGACTCCTATGATATACAAAAATTAGACTGAGAGGATATAGAAAACCTAAAAAGATAAATATTAGGCGTTGTTTTTGAACTTTTATTAAAAAATTTCACCCAAAAGAAAAACCCTGGTGCAGATTAATTCACAGCTGAATTCTGTCAGAACTTTAAAGAACCAAAGCTAATGCTCTTCAAACTAATTCATGAAATAAAGAGGGAACACTTCAAAAGTCATTATAGAAACCCAGTATAAGACTGATATCAAAATCAGATAGGACAGTTTAGGAAAGAAAATTATAGACCAATATTCTTGATGAACATAGATACGAAAATCCTTAATAAAATATTAGCAAATTGAATTCAACAACATATTAAGAAAATTGTATAGGGCTGGGGCTCAGCTGTAGCGCACTTGCCTGGATGTGTGAGGCACTGGGTTCGATTCTCAGCACCACATATAAATAAAAATAAAATAAAAGTCTACAAAAACTAAAAAATATTTTAAAAAATAAAATTGTATATAAAGTTGATTTCATTCTAGGATTAAAAAAAATGGTTAACATATACAAATCAATAAACATAATATGTCAAATAAATGGAATCAAGAAAAAAAATTTACATGATCATCTCAATAGATGCAGAAAAATCTTTTGGCAAAATTCAGCACCTAATCATGATAAATACTCTGAAGAAACTAGGGATAAAAGAACTTACTCTAACATCACAAAGGCTATATATGATAAACTCAAATTCAACATCACACAGTATGTGGAAAAGTTGGAAGCATTTCCTCTGGTCAGGAAGAAACCTGTGATGTTTCCATGTATGTACACAGTGTGATCAGATCCAACAGACTTCATCCACATCCAGCCCCACTTCCACCCCTTCATTGCATTTCTTTCCAATCTCTAGTAATCATTATTTTTTCTTTCAGGTGTCTAGTTTCAGTTTTCACATGTGAGACAGAACATGCACTATTTGTCTTTCTGTGTTTCATCTATTTCACTTAACATAGTGTCTTACAATTCTATTCATTTTGCTGCAAATGACAGGATTTCATTGTCCTTTGTGGCTGAATAATACTCCACTCATGCTTATGGGCACTTACACTGATTTCATTTCTTAGCTACTGTGAATAGTGCTCCAATAACCAGGGCATGCAGGTACCTGTTTGGTATGCTGATTTCACTTCCTTCTGATAATTACCCCCAAGTGGGATATCTAGATCATATGGCAACTCTATAGGTTTTTAAGGAACCTTCATTCTGTTCTTCTTAATGGCTGTAACAATTTACATTCTCTCCAACAGCATATGAGAGTTCCCTTTTCTCCCCATCCTTGCCAACACTCAGGATACTTTGTTTCATCTTCTTAAAATATTCTTTTCTTGGGGCTGGGGATGTGGCTCAAGCAGTAGCGTGCTCGCATCGCGGGGCGCTGGGTTCGATCCTCAGCACCACATAAAAATAAAATAAAAATGTTGTGTCCACCGAAAACTAAAAAATAAATATTAAAAAATTCTCTCTCTCTTTAAAAAAAAATATTTTTTTCTAGAGTTCACATGCTGCCTGCCCTAGGGGTTAGACACCTAGTGTACTGTGTATAAAAATTAATGAGGCAAGAGAGGTTTTTGATCATCAATGTTGCAGCAATCTAGAGAAAGGAACAGTGAGAGAAGAGATGGGTCACGGAAGACGTATCTGGAATATTGCTATTATTAGAAGAGCTCAGATTAGGATCTGCCTCTGGCATCAATAATACCCACTAGGTATTACTTAGAGACCATTATAAAAGGAATAGGGGGCTGATGGAATAGTCAGTGCTTCATCATCATCCTGCTGAAGTGATCCCTTGTCTCGAACATATCCTGTCAAGACAAAATGGAAAACCTCCTGAAGTTATGTCTCTTTCTGTTCTGCATGGAAATTGGTAAATCCTAGAGTGGAGGATTGATGATGGTTAAGGTATCAGCTTAGGCTTAACCCTGGTATATATTTAGGCAGGGCCTGGTTTTCCACATTCTCTTGGATTCTGTCAGCTCTAACATGATTTCTATGGAATAAGGTTTAGTTTTACATATAGATAGTTAGGCTCCACCTGAGTGCTTCCATCTTCTGACTTCCCTGGATTCTTCCCTTCTCCAGTCATCCCCTGGAGATCCCACATGTCTTCTAGCTTTATATACCCCCCAAACTTGTTATATCTATGAAGTAAGGAATAGGGACTCCTTGTCATTCTGAAGACTGCATCCAGATCACAACACTGGACCTTTAGGCCAAGATAACCCAGCAGGTGCTCTGTGCTTTCCATTCTGTATGCAATCACTGTGATAGGCTAGAATATAAACCATGAATAGTATAGTCAGTTATCCCTGCCTCCAAGTCATATGATTCCTTGTCCTCCATGGGCAAGATTAAATCATCTCTCTATTTCTTCCTGCTCAGCCTGTAATATTAAGATGTGCTACTGCCTGGAGCATATCTCTGAGGGTGCCCTCAGTGAAGTCAAACCCTTGGGGAATTTGGATGATGATCTCTGCTCCATTTGAGAAGAAACATTGACGCTTCCTTTCTCCTTTAGCACAGTATTTCTTCTTTTCAGCTGTGGCTCTCGAATGTTTACAGTGCAGTGGCTACAAAAATGGAAAATGTGAACATGAGGTAAAACAATGCATAGCTAAAACAGGAGAATCTTGTATGATCACTAGACTCTGGACTTGGCCACACAATGGTAAGTATGTTCATAGATATGGTTACAGTGTTCAGGATCCAAAGACTCTAAACCCCTGGGGTCTCTATATGAACCCTTTCTCACATTCTAATCAGTGATTTCAGCTCCACTTGTCAAATGCTGATCAAACTTCTGTCTCTACTTGGAGTCCTCTGTATTGGAAGTTTTCTTTGACCCTTTGCTTAATATACATTACTCTCTATTGTGCCCCCAAATTCTCCCTGCCATATTCGCCTCATATGTCACATTGCCTGCCATTCCCTGCTACCTGGTCTTTGAGAGCAGATGTGGTATTGCTCACCACTCTAACTTGGTGCTTACTACAGATCCTGGAACCCAGAAGGTTTTTAGCAATTGCTTTGTACATGTTTTCCAAAGAGGGGGGGGCTTCTGTCTGATTCCACATCAAATGTATAGTTCCCCTGCAGGAATCACTCCTGTGAGCAGGAAGCTTGCAAGATGTATATTAAGAGAATGTATCAGGACTGCCAAAATAGGAGCTAATAGTTAATGTGGAAGAAATATTCTTGCAATTAATATATTTTTGGTTCACCCAAGCTTGGATTTGGGACTTATATCTTGGCTATTAAAAATGACATCATTTCTGCTTTGTTTTTTTTTTTTCAATAGAAAGTGACCCGCTGTTTGCAGAGTCCAAGTGCATGAAAGATTGTCAAGAAGAAAATGAATATACTCCTCGTGGAAGAATACTAACAATCTGCTGTGATTATTATGATTTTTGCAATGAATTTAGGTGGCCAGTTCCAATGCCCTAATTTGAGAAAGCTTCAGGAATTGCTGTTCCCAAACTCTTTACCTCCTAATTTTATTTCTTGTTCTGCCTCAAGTTCCTATTTATTGTGGACTAGAGGCTTTCTGAAATGTTAGAAATGCAGGAGTCATGAAATGTGGGGAAAGAAACTTCCTCGGCCTTATGATAATCTGTGATCCTACAGCCCACTTCTCATGCATGACATTTTCTCTCTAGTCAACCTGAACATATTGTCTCTTGGTTTTAAACAGTGCTTTTATTAGACTTTCCCACCCTAGACAATGAGGCTTGGACAACAAAGACTTGGAATGATTTCAGCATTTCATTATTATGAAAGAAGACATCTGGAGGACCTTCTCACCATGAACAGAAGCAGGGCTGAAAAATCATAGATACTCGGTCAGAGCTCTGAGATTCATCCAAGGAAGAAACCCTCCACCGATTGTTTGTTGTAGTATCTTTGTTAGGCACAAATTCTCTATGTTTCATCCAGTTTGTGAGGGATGTTCTTTCCTGAGCTGTTTGAATACTTGTTGATAATAATGTTGACTCTAACCTGTGTTAGGAAGATGATACAACCCAACACCGCAGTCTTTTGAACTTCCTTTATTTGTAAGCACCAATTTCCTTTCCTAGCCCCTTTCATGTTCCTTAGGGATCACATTTCCATCTCATTGAGTTGATGTGTTCTCAGTGCCCCACATGTTGACTAGCTTTTCTTTTTCTTCTTTTTTTTTTGGGAGGGGGAGTACCAGGGATTGAACTCAAGGGCACTCGACCACTGAGACACATCCCCAGCCCTGTTTTGTATTTTATTTAGAGACAGGGTGTCACTGAGTTCTTAGCACATCACTTTTGCTGAGTCTGGCTTTGAACTTGCAATCCTCCTGCCTCAGCCTCCCGAGCCACTGGGATTACAGGCATGTACCACCACACCTGGCTAGCTTTTCTTCTTTATGTATATGATATATGCAGTGAGCAGTGAGTTATCAATCACCTGTTTAATCAGAAAGCAATCTATTAAAAATACATTTGTTAGAGTAGGAACACATTTTCCCTTTATAAATATGGAACAGAATATTGTAAGCATCTTGTAATCTTGGTGTCCAAATATTTACAATCTGTATTACTCAAAATCACTCGTTTCCTAAAATATTCAAATTGAATAAATATTAAATTAAACAAATACTAGAAATTATTGGAGAAATATATCACTAAACCTTACTTCAATTTGGGGGTAGAAAAGTCCCATATATTTCATATAAATATATATATGCCAACTATGTGAACTTTTTCATGTTAAAGCCTATTTTCTCTCTCATATTGGGATTTCTGTCTTTATAGCAATGTCATGAAAATATAAGTTCTCCTCTAGAGAAAAGAATGTAACATGGTCTAAATAGCTCAAATGGAATATTTTAAATAAAATCATTATAGAAAATACCAAACTATAAATTGTAGGATTTTTGTTATATGCACATGCACAAGATTCACACAGGTACATGTATAGGTTTATGCATTTGTCTGTATTTATATAGCATGTTTCATTCAAATTGAATTATTCACATCACATAAAGTCACGATTTTAAATAGTTCAACTTAATGGCTTTTTGTACATTTATCATGTTGTTCAACTACCAATCTCTAATTCCAGAACATTTCCTCATTCATTCAAAAGCCCCTTACCTGATTAGCTCTTGCTTCTCTTCTCCCCCAAAGCCCGCAACAGTGTCTCTGTGGATTTCCTATTTCCAATATTTCACACAAATGAAATTATATAATATGAATGTTTCTGTGTTATATAATATGAATGTTTCTGTATTCTTTCACCAAGTATAATGTTTTCAAGGTTCATTAATGCTACATCATACATCAGTACACCACACCATTCCTTTTTTCAGCTGAAATATATTTTATTGCATGGCTACATTTATCTATTCAGCAGTTGATTGACATCTTGGTGGTTATTTTAGTTTCTGAGTGAGATTTGATCATTTACAAGAATTTACCTATTTCATCTAGCTTTTTTAATTTGTTGGTGTGGGGATATTCATAGTACTCTCTTCTTAATAAGCATTTTTATTTCTATAAGTTTAATAATAGATCCCAAGTTTCATTTCTGGATTTAGAATTTTGAGTCTTCTCCTTTTTTTCCCATATTCTTTCTTATCGTTGTTCTTTTTAGATATACATGACAGTAGAGTGCATTTTGACATATACACATGGAGTATAACTTATTCTAATTAGGAGCTCAATCTTGTGGTTGTACATGATGTGGAGTTTGACTGGTGGTGTATTTATATATAAATATAGGAAAGAATCTTCTATTTCTTATCTGTCAGCCTACCTAATGGTTTGTCAATTTTGTTGATCTTTTCCATGTACCTACTTGTGGTTTCTGAATCTCTAAATCTCTCTCTTACCTTTTTATCTTCTATTTCATTTACAGCCTTAAATTGTATAATTTCCTATTTCTACTGATTTTTACTTGGCTTTCCCCCTCCCCCTGCTTCCTTAGAGTGGATGGAGAGTTGGTTACTTGAGTTCCTTCTCTTTTTTAGAGTAAATGCTAGCTCTGTAAATTTCTTCCTGTGCACTACTTTCCTTGCAGGCATGGGTTTGATACATTAAGTTTTGTTATGATTTTTCTCTAAGTATTTCATAATTTCCCTTGTGACTTCTCCTTTGATCCTTTGCTAGTAAAATAATGTGATGTTTGACTTCTACACCTTGGTATTTTCCAGATTTATTTTTGTTTTTGATTTTTGTTTCAATTCCACTGTGGTCAGACAAGATACTAATATGAATCCAATCTTTTTTTTTCTTTTTCTTATTATATTTTATTTGTATGATATTGAACAAATTAATTGCAACAGATGTAAAATAAGCATTTTATTTTTGTTGTTGTTTTTTGCTCTTTCTTTATTTGTTTTTATTTGTTTTAATTAGTTACACATGACAGTACAATGACCTTGACATATCATACATTTGAATCAGATGGGATATAATTTCTCATTTTTCTGAGTGTACAGGTTGCAGAATCTATATTGGTCATGCAGTCACATATATACACACAGTAATAATAATGTCTGTTTTATCTACTATCCTTCCTATCCCCCCCACGTGCCCCCCCCTTCTCCCTTCCCCTCCCATCACTTCTCTCTACCTAATCTAAGGTAACGCTATTCTTTTTTCCCCTCACATCATCATACATGAATTTTGTGTAACAACGGGGGTCTCCTTCCACCATTCATGCAATTCCCCTTTTCCCTCCCTTTCCCTCCCACCCCTATTCCCTATGTAGAGGTAATCTTCTTCCCATGCTCTTCCTCTCTACCCCATTTTGAGTCACCCCCTTATATCAGAGAAGACATTTGGCATTTGTTTTTTTTTGGGGGGGGGATTGGCTAACTTCACTTAGCATAGTCTTCTCTAATGCCATCCATTTCCCTGCAAATGCCATGTGAATCCAATCTTTTTTATTCATTGATAATTGCTTTGTGGTTGAACATATAGTTTATCTTGGCAAATGTTCATGGCACTGGAGAAGAGTCTGCTGTTGTTTGGGGAAATGTTTAATGTATGTCTTTTAGGTCTGTTTTGTTCATAGAATTTTAAAATATTACATTTTCGTGTTTATCTTATGTCTTTTTTGCTGCAGTCTGGCTGGGCACAAATAACCGAGCCACCACAAAGCCTTGTAGATTCAAACAGCAACTCTTTATTCCCCAACTCTCACCAGCACTGCATACACCACATGGGAACACACTCCCTCCACTGGACTCCGTCCAATCTCCCCGAACCCCCCCCCCCCAGAGAACTCACAGGAACTCCAAAGGAGCGGGCGCCTGAGGCAGCAAGAGCTGACCTATTGCCTGACAGTAAAGGTCAAATATACAATACAATCAATCCAGCATCACAGCAATTATATATAGCTTAACTCAAATCATCATCTTAATGGTTCGCTGGTGTCACCTTTCAACCATTCCCTCTGGCAAATGCCAGGCGTCATTCGGACTGGGCTGTGGCTCTCAACGTCTTTTTTTCTACATAATGAAAGATGTTCTGCAATCTGTATACGGGGTAAAAGGGGAGTTCATAACCCACTTGAATCAAAGTGTGAAATATGATATATCAAGAACTATGTAATGTTTTGAACAACCAACAATAAAAATTTAAAAAAAAATAAAAATAAAAGATGCAAGTGCATAGATGGAACTTAGTAAAAAAAAAAGAAAAAAAAGAAAGATGTTACATGGAAATATTCAACTATCAATATTTGTGAGAAATAGAAAGTTTGGTGGTTCATTTTCAGAATATAGTATTTAGCTTTAATTGGGATTTAAGATCTAACTGTAGCCATTTTAGTAACAGCCTTCCCTTTGACTTCTCCAATTTTAAAATTAGCTAATCTCCTAGATTGTAACACTGAGTTCCTATTAGGGCATCGGAAAGCAATGTGTTAGGGGAAAAAGCAGGTGAACTCCCTGTCCAGGTGCACTTGCTGGCCATGTTTGGTAGCATGCCCTTCGGGCAGAAGGAAAGTTTGCTTTGCCAACCTGCTTCCAAGCACATATTTGATTTCACATGTTTAGAAATACCTCGTATTTCTAAAATATTGAATTATTTTGCACTTCAATTCTGTTAGTTGGCTTGGTATGTTTTGGGGACCAGTGTTAGTTTCATATCTTTAAAATTATTATATCTTTTCAGGTGGTGAAAAGTATGTAATGTGATTTTTTTCTTTTTTGGCCTCTTGTAACAGTTATTGTGTCAAAGTCTCTCTTGTCTTGTAAGGGTCTGGCGAAGCGTCGGATAAAGAGACCACCAAGAGACTGTAAAGTTCTGGTGATACGTCGGAGAGGGAGACCACCCAAGAGACTGACTCCATGCAATTGGCAAAAGGGGATATTTATTGGGGATCCATTCCAGCGCGCTGGGGCTCTGTGCTCACTCAAGAAGGGAGAGCAGCCCAGAGCCCAGAGCAGAGTTCAAGCGGAGCTTAAGTACACTTTTCGGAGAGGGTGGGGGGCTTTGCATACATCAGAACAAATCATCATGAGGCGCGGGAAAATTGAACAACAACCCTGAGTCAGGATTAGTGCATACATTGGCGGGTACAATCAGGGCAGGAATGATTGGTGCTCCTAGGTGGGGTACACATTCAAACTGATTGGTTTGGACCCTGAATATCTACGTGACAAACTGCACAGGGTCTTGAATGCTTACGTGAGGAGTTGCACAGGACCCCAGTCCATAAATCACTAAATGGCCAGTAGGGCCTTGTCCTAACTGCCTCAGGAATTTAACCCATGCTTTGCGGTTTTAGAAACAGGTTTACAAGCCTGGTCCTTTACACTTTAACTCAGGCTGTGCGGCTTAGAATCAGCTTGGAAATTTTACCTTTACAAGACCACTCATGCAATTGGCAGAAGGGGATTTATTGATCCAGCATGCTGGGGCTCCGTGCCCACTCAAGAAAGGAGAGCAGCCCAGAGCCCCGGGCAAGGGTTGAGCAGTGCTTAAGTACACTTTTTGGGGAGGGTGGGGGCTTTGCATACATCAGAACAAATCATCATGAGGCCGCGGGAAAATTGAACAGCAACTCTTAGACATGATTAGTACATTCATTGGCGGGAACAGGTTGTGCGGGGGTGATTGGTCACTCCTAAGTGGGGTACACATTTAAACTGATTGGTTTTGGGCCCTAGATGCCTACGTGCGGGGCTACACAGGGTCCTAAGTTATTAAACAACTAAATGGCCAGTAGGGCATTGTCT